AATGATGGATAATCATAAAGTGGTCTTTTAACTAAAGTACCAATATGAAAATCCTTAGCTTGTACAAATGTACGATAAATTTGAATCACTTTAGGAAATATATTATATACATCATTGATTTTAAAAGGTGATTCCCATAGAATTGGTATGGCACAATTAGCCCAATATTTATTGACTAAAATGCAGAAATATATATCTTTGTTAGTTGGAAGGTGCCTAAAAATAATATAGAAATATTCTGGTGCGAACATTTGATCTATGGTACGGGATTTATGTATGATATCATATTTTTCTTGATCGATTAAATTCATTTTTTTAACGTTATCTTTAAATGTTCCAAAAAGAATAAAAAAGTAAAAAAGAAAAATACGATGCAAGAAATCTATAAACGAATCTGTATTCATAAAGACAAAATTAACACGAATAAATGATCGAACGAAGCTATAAAAGATGTAAACTGACTTTTATATATAGAATGATATAACACTTATTTAAGGTTTATAACACATGTACTATTAAATTCGATACATGAAATTTTTATTTTTAGCGTATTATTTACACGCAGATTATGCATTAATATCACTGGCATCTTATTTAGGCGACATCACATACTGTTTGCATTATATATTTTTAGGAATTGTCTCTTGGTGTGAAATCGGCTAGGTGAGAAATGGTTATAAGCGGAGCTAGATTTCCGTGTCTTTATGTTGATAACTAAGGAAATATTAATTTTAATATCTACAAGAACGGAATTTTATCGTTATGTAGCATACCACAGCATCCGAATATGTAAGTTCCCAGCGTAACCAACCTAAAAAATTTCGGCCATTAGTATTAGTGTTGGGGGTTTGTTCCGTTTTTGTTTTGATTTATGTTACACAGCACCTTAGAAGTAATTCTCTTTATTATTTTGCTATATTTAGGTATACAAATTATGTTAGGTATAGAGTACTACGTATCGTTTTTTATATTTTCCAACTTGATTTATTTTTACTGGTTTGGGACGTCGCGATCGTAAAATTTTATAATTAGATTGGAACTACCACCAAAATTAACTACTCCAAGAACACCACAAAAATTTTCGGTTACACGGAATTTTGACCAATAGAATTAGCTGCACATGTAGATCGCCACATAGATTTTAATACTTTTTTGCAACTTCGAACAAAGATATCTCGACTACCACCGAACAAAATTTGATTAAATTTTTTTATTTTGATACATCAAGTATGTGGAATAAAAATAAAAAAGATTCAACAAATATGGATTTGTGATAGTCGAGAAATCTTCTTTGAAGTTTAGAAAAGTTCTATTACGACGAATACCAGTACGATCACATGAAATGTGGAGGGATGGTTGCGTTCAACTTTTTGGTGCGCTATATTTTTTCCTGATTTGGAAGGTATTATGGTTGTCGATTTTTTCCTTTTTAGTAGGTGCTGTGAAAATATCATAGGTTACGTATGTTGAAGATGTGTTAACTACCGTAGAATACGCTAAAAATAACTATACAACTATCTTATAACACTACACAAACCAACGAATCACTAATTCGACTATAAAAT